TGTTTGGTCATCCGGCCAAAAACAGCCAAAACCAGCAGCACATCATAGTTAATAAGTAACGTAAATAACTCAATGCAAAGTGCTCGTTTTCTTGTCGCTTGCTTTGCATAGCAAGCCGAGCACTTAACGTTTCCTTTTGTTGCCATAAATTTGCATAGGCTGCTGCGCAGCCGCCACATATGTACTAGTTATTGTCGCTAACTCTGCAAGTCAAGTTCGTTTTTCGTTATCGCATCTGGTACGGAGAAGCTTAGCTTTCCGTCTACCAGCATAAACTTTGTAAATCTCGGCGATCGCTACCTATGCAAAATAAACATTTGTGCACATCTTTTAAATTGAACAATTTCGTTTCGCTTATTTTGCAATTATTTCGCCAACATAATTTCGCATATTTGGAATCATAAAAAAGCTTATGATTATACATAGCCCACAAACAAATTTCTCACATAATTCACAAAACGTCCGTAATACGGAAGCCGTTTTTGCAAATTTCACTGATAAGTTAAGTAAATTTGCGGCACTCAAATTTGAATTTCATGTCCCTTTTATCGGGTGCGACTATCTAACGCTTAGCATGGGCCTGCCTAGAAGTGAGGCTGCTGAAATTCCTGCCGCGGTTGTTGTTTCAGTACTCGTAGTTGTTGCTGTTGCTGTTGCTGTTGGTGTGGTTGTTGCAACAGTTGTTGAGGTTGCTGCTTGGCAAATTTGGGTGCCCATAATAACGGTGCATGGCTTGCCTTATTAGGGGAATGCTGCCCGGGCCACACGGATTGATATTGATGTGCCTGTGAAAAGCAATTTTTCGGTTGTTGCTGCCACTATTGTTGCCACTCTCGTCGTTGTTGTTGTTGTTGGTGGTGGTGGTGGAGGTTGTGTTTCTGCCGTCGAGTTATAAAATATAGAAAATTATGCGCTTTAGCTACCGTTGTCGGTTGTCATCAAAAGCATCGAAGGCGCCGCCAACAAAGCCGCAATGAAGTGCTGGTGACGGTGGCAACGGCATTTGGTTGTGGCACTTAACACCTTTTTGACACACGTCTTGGTCATAGCTATGTCTAGTTCGGCTGCGGCTGCTGCTCCTGCAGCCAACGTCAAATGCAAATGAAGATAAATCGCTGCCTGTGATCTTTTTAGCACCTTTTTGCATACATTGCAGTATGTGACAACCCCAACAACATGCAACATTTCAGCTACAACTGCGACTCTGGCTGTGACAGCATTGCCACTGCCTGCCTACCGTTTACTGATTATGATTGCAGCCCCTCCATGCCCCACCGTCCAATGCAATTCAAGATCCAAGACGCGAGCCTCGCGTGCATATGCATTGTCCGCAGTGGTCTGCTTGCATAGCTCTTGTCTCGCTCACAGTCAATAAGGTTGAATGTCAAGTCTGCTCCAACTGCAACTCCTGGTGCTGCCGCTGCCGCTGCCGCTGCTGCTCCTGCTCCTGCTCCTTCATCTGCTCCTTCATCTGCCAGCTTCCATCTGCCATTGTGTGTGTGCGACTCACTTTGCATATGAGCGCGCGCGCTCCGCACAATCAAAATTATCGGACGGCCGTCGACATTGTTGTTGTTTCTGTTGTTGCTTCTGTTGTTGTTGTTGTTGCCTTCGTGTTGCCTGCCTGCCTGCCTGCCTAGTGGTTGCGGATGAGGAAGTTGTTTGTTAGCTATGAAATGCATTTTGTTTCGCTTTTTCTTGCATGCCATGCCGCAAACTATCGGCAGCTTGTCGCGTTTTTTATTTAAATTACCAAATGTTTTGTCAACAATTTGTCCAATGATTTACACGTTTGCATTTGAGCGATGGCGCTTCCATCGTCAATTGTTGTCCACACGCGGTCCTCGACTAATTTTAAACGTACTACTAGCCACAACACTCATCCAGCGCTTGCTCATACCTGCTTAAATGTGCTGAGTATTAAGCTGACAAGTGCATAAATCGCGTCTTAAATCGAAACATGCCCAGAATGAAAGTGACGAGCGACGCGTGAATTGAATGCCAAGACCAAGGCTGATTAGAGATGGGCCAGTCTCTGATCGTGGTCTTGAGAAGCTCAAGCACAGGGCTAGTTAGGGTCGTACTAGTGTAAAAAAACTGAACCTTATGACGATTTGCAACGCGCTTTTTAGCCATGCAACGAAAACGTTGCTTCAGTTAAATTGTTTACCTTTTATTTTAATATGAAAGATATATAAGATATATAAAAATTGTCGCATCAGATAAATTGTTTACTTATTATTTTAATATGAAAGATATACACATTTTTAAAATGGTCGCATCAGATAAATTGTTTACTAATTATTTCAATATGCAAGATATACAAATTTCTACAATTATTTACTTATCGGCTCAAATTGTGCAGCTATATATAAAAAAGTGGCGTTCTTGAACTTTTCTCATAGTTAGTCTCAAGTTAAATGTTAAATACTGTGGCACAAAAATTGTTCAGAAACGTAAATAATTGAGAGCAAGTATGGATGGACTTGTCGGATGAGGCATCTATCTCGACCCTTTTTGTCATTCTCAAGCGCTACAAATTGTTTTTAATTTTTTCTAGCCATGGGAAAACTGTACGGAGCCTTAGCAGTTTTAGCAACATTTAAAGCAAAGTATTCGTTTCAAAAAAATGCAACATGTACTATAGTATAGGTTTCAACTACCTGTGGGCGTTACTGCTTCGTATGGGTAATTATGGGCTTGTCAGGGATCTGCTGCAAATTTAAATTTAACAAGCCAAGGAAGATGTGGTCATTCCACATGAACCAGATCTTGACTCGGCATTAAATTACTCTGAGAGACTGGCTGGAGGAATACCGTGGCATAACAATTTCCGACTGTACTTCAACAATTATTTTACATCAATACCTTTGTTTTAAACACCTTGGAATCTTAGCGTTAATTTAATTGACAGTATAATTGGTAGACAAAAGGTTTGTATAAGGAGTTATAGTTGGCAAGTTAGTGTTTTTTTTTATACCACCTTAACTTAACCATGAATATTACGTAAATACTTTACCAACGAACTTATAGGGCCAATGCATCACCTGGCAAACTTCTATCCTCTGCAGAATTCTGAATTGATGTAGAAGAAATGCTTCCCAAAACTGAAACTATTGCGAAGGTTGGAAAACGACGCTATAATCTACAAAACGAATTAGACAAAAAAAAAAACAGAGGGGTCCCACACAACAAATTCCAAAATAAAACGTTACTCTGCTTAGCCATTCGCCTATTTGGATCAAAAATAGAATAAGACGCACATACGCTAAGAGCGCAGGATTCTCTCAAGAGAATAACAATAAGGATGCAGTTGCATTGTCTTTTAACTTAAATTCCACAACTTGATACCTTAATTAAATAAATTCAAATGATTTGAAGTACATTTTCGACATTTTGTTTATGCTCGACTTATTTGAGAAATACCTTTGCTTATAAAGACTTCAATTAAATTATCACCACCAGCACATTTGTTGTACTAAATACCTAATATATATGCTAAAACACAGTCATTCAAAAAAAAGAGAGAACGCTACAGTCGAGCAAGTCCGACAGTGTAATACCCTGTACCCAGCTAAGTTTCCGGCACTGAGGTATATGCGCCCATAGCATCAGCAAAAAAAGGAAGAAGAAGAGCGAACTTGTTGCTGCAGTTTGGGGGGGTTGCACTGGAGAGAATTGGATAAAAATTTTAACAACAGTAGATAATTATATATTAATTATGTGTGCAAAGTTTGATTTAGGTAGCATTTGAAATGTGGACGGTATTGACGAATTCTGTAGCGGGGGAAGGGGGCGATTATTCCAAAAAATAAATTCGTCCTTTCTCGGACATAGGAGAATCTGGATGCCAACTTTGGTTATTCTAGCTATTATAGTTTCTGAGATCCTTGCGTTCATCCAGACGGACAGACGGACGGACGGACGGACGGACATGTCTAGATCGATTTCTCTCGTCATGCTGATTTAGAATAGAATTACATACTTTGCACAAATCTAATATACCCTTTTTACCCTACGGGTACAGGGTATCAAAATTAATAAATCATTTTAATCGGAGATTATGCCCAACAAGGGTGAGCATACATTCGTAAAAGGGCAAATCCTTAAAATCGAGAACAACGCAAATGCGAATTCGATGTAGTGTTTTGTGAGTAGCCGACCACCACTAAATCGGACCCAACCTGGCCGTACATTGACCGTAGTCGCAGCCACAGCCGCATCCATCCAAAAACTACAGCAACAGCATCGATGACGACGAGCTGTCCATCAGAGAACTTTCGATTTCGATTGCGTACGAGGAGGCGCAGACGCAGGCGCAGTGTAGTGTAGTGTGGAGGCAGAGGCAGTGGCAGCTGCAGCCTTTGCTCGTCACTTTCCTTTGGCGTTTGTTGAACTGCCAGTGCCAGTGCCAGTGCCACTGCCACATGCTGGTGCATGCCGTGGCAGCAAAGAAACTGTAAAGTCAACTGCCACAGATCACGTCGCGGCAGGCCGGCCGAACAAGAAACACACATTTCTGTTGTTGTAGCTGCTGCGTTTTTTGAAGTCTCTGTGACTGACACACAATTGCGTTTTTTGCGCATGGTTCCGTATTTGGTCAAAGATAATGATGTGAAATGCAACAACAGTGGCAACGGGCACAACATTTTGCAATCACCCACTCAAAATTGTGGCCAACAAGCCAAATGGCAGAGTTGCTGGTCGAAACAACGAGCGGGACGGGATGAGACGAAAGAAAATGAAATGAAATATATGTAAATGAGTGAAAATGTTTTAACTTAATTTTATTTATGTGTGTTCACGTGCAATTTTCCATCGGTATGGACATCGTTGCCATGGCAGAGAAACTCGGCCGGCATGTCTGCGCATGCGTCGTATTTCCATGTATTTCCATGACAGCCGGCAGGAAAACCCTTCTGTTTTACAATACTTTATGTGCACACGCTTTAGTGTCAGCCAGGCTTGAAATAGAATTGTCTGGCATTGAAGCATACTCGTATAACCGGACTGTGTAAAAATGGATCGGCCAAGTCTTCCAGCGGAACCAATGGGTGGCACCCCACCGCCAGAGCTGGATCAGGAGGCCCTGCTGCCCCTAACACAGAGACGCCTTAAGCCGTACTTGAAGAAGTTCATGCAACCCGATTCGGATGAGGAAGATTTTTACGGCGATCCCAAGCAGTTGTACAATGTGAACGAATCTTGGCGCACATTGCTTTCGCTGCCCACATGCCAGAAGGTCATGATCACGTAGGTGGTGAGTTAATAAGAATCAAACCTTTTCTTATAAGGAGTACATCCGCAGTCAAAAGGTGCAGAAGGCACTTAAGGTCGAGGTCGGCGTCAATGTAACGCAGGAATTTCCATGGAAGCAGGTACAATTCAAGGATCTGCGGGACACTCTCTTTGAGGAGCTCGAAAATGTTGCAGAGCTTAACAAGCTCTTCAAAGGATTCAATCCCGAGCACTATATACTGATAGGATACTGTCCCACACTAACTGAGCAGGACGACGATCCTCCTGAGGGCGATCCATTCATATTCTTTATTAGCGGCAAAGAGGCCAAGCTGGCCATGGGAATTATACAGAATATGGAGGCTTTCGAGCGCTGGCGTATGCGTCGCCGTCTGCGAAAGAAGCCTCGTCGCTGGGTCAGTCATGGTACCGAAGGAGAGATGAACATACTTGTCCAGCAGCTAAAGGACGAGCCTGTGGATGTGGAAATTCAAAGCGTGTATCCCATACAGCAGCCAAAGCCGGAAATTTTCGGATATCGCATGGCACGAGATGTGCGCGATGGCGTTATAGAGTTGCTGCCGAATGAGAATATCAAATTCGATAACATAACCCGACGTCGCATTACAATCGGCGTACAGTCGGCTCCGCGGCGAGTCGATCGCGAGCAGCAAACGAATCCTACATTTCCATCCAATGCCTGGTCGCAGTACCTTTACGAAATTGATGACGCGGGTAGGTATTAGGATCTCATATATTTCCTCAATTAATTTGTTTTATGATATAGATCTTGAGCTTGATGAGTCCGATGTCGAAGAGGATGAAGAAAAGAAAAATACAAGCAGACCTTCCACAGGAAACACTGAGAAATCAGAAAAACCACCACCTGAGATGTCGGACCAAATCATGTTGCTTCTAAACACACTCGAGTTTAACCAGATAGATGGATACCGGTATGTGCACCTTTTCAAACTTTGGCTCCAATTACAAACACAAGGAAACAATCCTACTCTTACATTAAGACCATCCCCTGCCTCAAAAGCCTAGTCTAGAATACTATATATTTGTAACGCGCCATCATGAATTTTAGGAACGATTACCAACTCATATCGGCCAATAAAGTCGTACACTACACAAGCCCATATCTGCAGGAGTTCATCTGCTTTGCCAACATTTCGAAGAGTAACAAACGTTTCGTGGCCGGCTACGATTGGTATCCAAATCTTTCTGGACTGATTGCTGTCTCGTATGCGTTTAGCACCCCCTGCACCATAAACGAGGCTTCCAAGCGTGTTGACTGGGTACAGCGAGCTGTACTTGAGCCCAATCCCGTGCTGCTTTGGAGCTTCTCCGATAACCTCAATTATAAGTTGGAGTTTGAATCGCCCTTTGAAACAACCGCACTTTCCTTCTGTCCCTACGATGGTGATTTTCTGTTTGGAGGCTGCAAGAACGGCCAACTGGTCGTCTGGGATCTTCAAGGACGTTGCGAACGCCTAGAAAATGAGGAATACTTGACCGCTGCTCAGGCTAAATACCGCACATTGATTCAGGAGTACCTGAACTGGACGATAGACCTAGACGAGGACGTGGTCGTACCGCCGGCTACTATCTCCCCGTTGGAAAATTCACCACGCGGTGTCATTACTGGTATCTATTGGCTCAGCAATCATTTTTATATCAACAACTATGGCAAGGTATACATCGACCCAGATAAGCGCCAGAAACATAAGTTCTTTGTTACTTGTTGCATCGATGGAACCATCAGCTTCTGGAATATGAACGCGCCCGTATCCAAGAAAGATAAAGAGAAGCAAATGCGAACTAAGATGCTTCCAAAGGAGCTCACACAAAACGAATCTACGTTTAAGAGCAAGACGCTCAAGCCGACCTATAACTTGTGGTTCAATGAGCCAGTTACTTCAATCATAGCTGACACTTCGGTGTTTTCCATTCAAACGCCAAGTATTAGAGTAATCAATGCTAGCCCAGCCAATTATCCGATATCTCTGCTGCCAAAAGATCCACCTTCTTTTCGCCAATCAATGATTGTGTCCACCTTTTATGGCCGAATCCATCGCGTCGATTGGCAGGGCATGTACACGGATGGCGACATCAAAGAGCAGGTTAACAGCTCCCTGCAATTCGCCATGGTGCACGACGGTCCTGTGGTGTGTATGCGCAAGAATCCCTTCTATCCGGAGTTGTTCGCCTCGATTGGACGTAACGTGTTCGCCGTGTGGAAGGAGGACTACAACTATTCGCCTATATTTTGGCGCAAACGTCCTTGTGATCTAACATCAGTGGCCTGGAGCGAGACGCGCCCAGCTGTCCTCTATCTGACGCGCATCGATGGTATTCTGGAGGCCTGGGACATTTTGGGTAGGAAATTACTATATTATATGTTGAGTGAAGCAACTTTTCCGTTTCGTAGCTCGCGACGACGATGCCTGCTTAAGTGAGATCTTAGGCGGCGGCATTATTACGGGCATTACGGAGCACAGACCCTCACTGCCATACAAAATTCTTGGCATTGGAGACTACAACAGCAGCATACGTATGGTCAAGTTGCCACACACATTCGACGTGCCACTGGACAACGAACTCGCAGTAAGTCGCAGCAAGGCAGACCTTCTCACAGATGCCCGGATAATCCAGTTTTGTATTCTAGAAAGTGATGGAATATGTATTAAAACAAGAACGCCGCAAGGTCAACATACAGTCCTGGGAGCAAAAATACTACGAACTAAACAAGGATATTATCGAAGCAAAGCGGGAGGCGGAGCAGGATGCTCGCCGGGAAATGGAGAGAATCGAACGTGAAGAGCAGTTGAATGCGCGTAAGCGCCAGGCAGATGAAGATGAGGCAGCGGCGTAAGTTCCTTATCCTAAATCGACAGTATTCCCACTAACGGTATTCTCGACTCCACAGGGCCAAGAATAAGCCGCTTAGCAGCATGCCATACAATGAGCGCATGGCTCATCTGTGGGACGAGTTAAATTTAAATCGAATGGTAACAATTCTAATGTCGCGCAAACAAATGGATCCCGAAAAATTGGCACGTGAGACAGCACTGGAGAAGGAACGCTTGGCATACGAGGTCTCCAAAAAGGAGTCTCATGCCCAGCTGCTCACTACTGTGGCCAATGATGTGGCTAACATCCGTGCCCGCATTCTGCCAGCCGAGATTCCCGACACGCAGCGTAGTGAAATGATTCAGGAGCGCATCAATAATGAGTTAGCGAAGGCTGACAGCTACGAAAAGGTGGAGGAAGAGGCCTTCGAAACACTCCGAAATTTTTCCGAGTTCGAGCGCATCGATTATATAGAGTTCCTAGAACGCGGTCGTCAACGCCGACAGTTGTTGGATCAGTCCTTGGGAGGCAACACGGAGCGCATACATTGGTACAACGAGAAGACTCGCGACCTTTCGATCTACGATTGCAACTTTGGATACGATTTTCTCTACTCCTCGTCTGCAATTCCAAATAACCCCAGCGTATCTACTGTCGATTATAGACCATCTGATGTTTTAAATTTTGATGATCACTCACCATTGTAGAGCAAACAAGTATTATCAAATAGAAAAGCATTCGTTAAATTTAATGCTATTGTTTAACTATTATCAAGGGTATTATCAAGGGGTAATATTTACAATATAATAATTAAGGCCCATCTATAGTATACAAGTATATAAAAAAAAACTGTGCTTCTTAAACAAAAGTGGCCAAATCTCCATGGAAGTTTGTACCTCATTTGCATTTGGCCATTAGTTGTCAACTTTCCCGACCCACGCGTGGTGCGATCACACTCTCAAAATATTCATTTTCAGTTCAAATGTTTGTCATTGATAAACTCCTAATCTGCTGAACCGATTTTAATCATATTTCACATGTATCTGTAGTTCGGTCTAACTTAAAACATAGGATAGTTTTATTCAATTATTTATCGTTTTTACAGAATTTTGTTATTATTTCATCAATATGTATCCGCGTACGTCAAAAATAAGACTGACCAAAAATTCAAACTGAAATAGAGCATCAAGTTAGTGTTAGTTAGTTCTTGAAGTGTTGAACGAAAGTGTGTGTTTTTGTCAGTAAGAAGAAGTATTCAATAATGATTCTAAAACGACTGATGAAATATAAATTTATATTTATTTTATTTTTGATTTTATTTTGAAATGTGAAAAGTCCGCAAAGTACATAGTGCCCTCTAAAATGCTGTGAAGCGAAGCACACCCGATCAGCTAGTATCTTTATAAAAATAGATGTAAAAAAGATGTGCATAACTATACCATACTTCAGAGCTCAACAACTTTTGGGGGGAGTAGTACTGGAAACAGACAGACGAACTGACATCCTGTATTCTGAGGAAAGAACCCCTGCTATATTATATGTATCTATTCATAGAATAATTTGTGAAATTGATTGAAAATAAGTGGGAATGTAGTTACATTTTGTCGGTGGAGCGTGTTAGGTGAATGAACGGCCATCAATGCAGTCAAAGATTGCTTTCCCACGGCACTTCGCAGCACATGTCCATCACATGCATATCGCCTACTCATGCACCAAGTGGACAAGTATTGTAAGCTCTATCATTTCGCTGCCGCACTTAATGATATATATTTCGGGAGCAATGCATCTGAACTTTACCATAATTTTGTTACCATTATTATTGACCAACTTGCGATTGAGCAGCGAGCAGCGAGCCGCGAGCCGCGGGCTCGACACAGAGTTACATCATCGACTGAACAGCCAGTCGACCACCTGTTGTCCTTAAAGCGCAAGCCGCTAAGTGGCCGACTCAAGTTTTGATCCATTAAATGCCGTAAGTTTTTATTAAAAAAGAAAAAGAAATCTAAAATACTTGTAGTTGGCGCTGCATTGCGTGCTGCGTGTTTGGAGCAAGTGCATGCATTTTTTCATATTTACATAACAATTGGCCTTTGAATTCAAATTGGCAACTGGCTCAGCGGCTGTGGTGGCGGCCGTTGAAGTTGAGGCTGCATTAAAATCTGTTTACCGCCATTTAAAATAATTTACGATGCTATGCAAATCGGCGCTTTCGTCGCGGCTGCCGTGACTCGGCATAAAGGCAGAGAAAGACTCGCATATACTCGTATACTCGTATATCGATTATTCACACCCATTGTGCGCCGGCGCAGCCTGTCCCGGATTGTGGTCAAAACAATAAAACAAACACGGTCAAGTTGGGCGCTGACAACAATGTTGGCTTTAATGTGTAAACACTTTCAATTTGAAGGCACGGCGAATTTGGCAGTATTGGGCGCCAACTCCAGTAACATCATAAATCAAAAAATAAACAAATTAAAACTTTACAAATCGCTGGTTGTCGACTGCTCCTCGGACTGCAACTGGCCATGGACGCTCTCCAAGCGTCGTAGCAGCTGCTTGCAGGAAACACCCAGCGAGTCACTCTTCTGGGCTAGCTCGTCAATGAGTTCCATAATGCTCAGCACGAAGCTGCTAAACTCTTCCTCGTACTCGCCCACGCCACTCTCGAATGCGTCGTAGTCTGTGCGGCCAGGTGGCGTCTCCACGTATCTGCAATAGTTAAGACACACATGGCCCAGCGTGAAAATGGAACGCACAAAGGTTGAGTCCTCGCTGATCAGACATAGGAGAAGACACTGATCCAGAAAGAGCTGGAATTGTGTCTGGAGGTCATCAATGTGAGGAGCCTTCTCCACCGCGCGCACCAACGTCTCCCAGTGCGGCTCAATAACGTCTTTGGTCATGTACTGCTCCAGACCCACCACGCTGCTGAGCATACGCTGTCGAAGCATGCACGAGCAAGTCGTCTGTATGACATCCTCGGTCTGCAAATGCCACAAGCTCGCGAGCTGTCGCTGTATGTAGCGCAAGAAGAAGAGCAGGCGGTGGAGCAGCTGCAGCTTCGAAATGACTTCTGCATGCAGCACAAGACTGACTGGCCATTTGGCCTCATAGCGCAGCGTGAACGCCTCATAGCCAAACAAGTTCAGTGTGTCCGGCTCCGTTTCGCCCTCACTGGTCATCACTGTGGCCGGTTCGGTGTCTCCAGCACTTTGTGCGTCGTCCTGCCCATCACAACAATGAGCCCGCTTCATGTGCTTGGCCAGTTGCGTGAGCAAATCGCACATCATTAGCTCACAATGCAACAGATCCTTGAATGGATCAGTGCTAGGCTGCAGCACATCGCCAAGCAAGCCCTGCAGCTTTTCGGGTAAAATGCGATCTACATTCCGTTGAAGTTGTTCATCTGCATGGCTAATAAATGCGTCTGTAAATTGCTCCGGCTGAAGCAGAAAGTAGCCAAATACATTGCGTAAATGGAGCATTATGTTTTGCTCCTTGACGAGCACTTGCAGCAACTTCTGAGCCGATAGCTCGTAGCTGGTCTGGAGCAGGTCTAAATGTTGGGAGTCGTTGGGCGCATAGGTGAGCGGAGACTGCATCAATTTTAGTTGCACATTGCACTGACGAAGAACATTTAGATACTTTCCTGCATTTAATATGATATCGGCATGTGGCAGCAAGAAGCTGGGCAGTCTTTCCAAATGCAAGCGATATCGCTTGAACCAGTATTCATAGCAACACTGCTCCGGAGATAGAAGCGTACTGCTCATGGCACTCACACGCTCCGTGTCCTCGATAAAGAACTCGCGCTGCGGATCGTAGATGACACCCTTTTGTGTCCAGATCTGTACCAGTTTCATGTAGCTCTGGGATACATTCGCAATCAACTGCTCCATAGCTTTGCACAGATCCTCCGCTTCCTTATGATCCTTGTAGAGCTCGTCGAGTAACGAAAGCACCTGCGCACTGTTCAGCCTCCCATCACGCACAGTGGTTGAAACCTTAGCATAGGCTTCCATGATGATCAGCGAAGGACGCAGTTGCTGCACCAATTTCTGCAGATTCAACCTTCCGTCATGCAACTCAGTTTCCAACTGGGCTTGCAGCTCATAATAGCTACTGAGATACTCTTGAAAAGCGGCAGCCAAGGCCTGACGTACCCGTCCACAATTGCTAGTCATGCTAGTCTCCTCAACGAAGCTCTGCACGCTGATATAATAGCTGATGAGCGGAAGAAGCTCATTTGCCAGCGCACGAAAGGCACAGCAGAATGCGTCATCAATCTTGAAACGCACTTTCCCAATATCACGAGCACTTAGCTCCGCAATCTTATCGAATGGCAGATCGGGCTTGATATGAGAGGCAGGCACACCCGAAAAGGCGTAGATTAGATCGCGCATTAGAAGCTTTTCCTGCCGCTCTACAGGTATCTTTCGAACATCCTCGGTGGGTATATAATAACCATCGACTCGTTCAAATATCCAGGAGTCCCGCTGCGGTTCCTCCGCCATAGGCGGACTTTGCAATAAATCTTTGAGCGGGCTAAGACCAGTCGGGGATCCGCTCTCGCTAATATCAGTGGTCTCCTTGTCTTTGATCGTGGCATCAGAAATTGCTGTGAATTCCTCGATGCGATCATGCACGCTGCGAATCTGCGTTTCCAGCTCACCTTTGCTCAACTGAAACCGCATTTTACCCGCGAATTTCTTTTCTATTTCGGATTCCATGATGCTGTAATTCTTCGTGTATCACTAGTGTGTGAAATAGAATTACAGTGATTGAAAAATCAACGCTCATTATTGTATGCTCTATTTTGAAATCTGTTTAAACATTTTAACACCGATTAATGGGAATGGGAATCTAATGGGAATGACCTCTTAAATGTGCGGAAAGTGACGTGGGCAAGGATTTCATCGGAAACGATCGAAAAGCTTATCTACTCGGTCCAACAACCAATTAGTTAACTAAAAGGTCTATCATACAATTATATTATTAATGAGTAAAAGCAGTGAGTGGATCATTAATATAAGATATTGTAATAAACATTGATTTGTTTTGATTTTTAGTTCATATGATAACTCATCTTTTATGTGTCGTTTGAACTATAGTATAGTATGGAAGATATAGCGATTCAAATATTGACGAAGCACTGGACAAATTAGGCTGTGAGCCACTGGATATCGTGGAAGTCACTCCCTGTATTATTTTAAATCTGAAACAAGAGGCTCGTTTATACATTTTGTGGGTCATGATGCGCGCTGGCACTAGGCTATATTGCAGTTATCTGAAGCTTGTCAAGAATACACCGTGCCAGGTTGGTCAGCACGCATTTCGTTAATGGGAGTCCGTCAGCGCTGAATGGGCATCAGAATTCATTCAGGGAAATAAAAAAGCAGCTGCGACACATTACGATTAAAAGCGAGCGCGCCTGTTGGTGACATCTTCAGCGAAGCAATAACAGGTGTTTTCTTCAGATAATTTTTGCGCCATTTGTGCGATGAATCAACAGGCTGCGTGATTGAGGCAGCTAGGCATGTATATACGTGTATGTGAGTAATTAATCATATGAACAACAAATTACATATGTATACTACTATATATCTGTAGGGAAACTGCAGTACGTGTCGTGCATTTTCTAGGCAATTTAATAAATTCGTGATGGGAAAGGCCTAAACCGCTACTGCACTTTCTACAACAACAGTAATGAGAGCTGACTATGAGAGCACTTTACTTGCGGGCTTTGTTGTCACGTGAGTGCTACTTGTCGTTACTGTTGTTACAGTTGTTGTCGTTGTGTCGTTGTCTCGATGTTCTCATTCTAAACAATGCAACGACAGCGTTAGCAATAGCGTCAGCGACGACGATGGTAGGTAGCCACATTAGCATAAATAAATAAATAACCGTAATAACAATAGCAACAACAAATTGCACTGACAACGTGAGTAAATAAATAACAACAACTACAACACGGCCGAGCTTTTGGTTCCTCTGCTCGCCATCGAGTGCACTCGCTCCTCACATGGCGCGTGCTTTTGCTCACACTCTCTATTGCTCTCCGGACAGAGAGGCATAATCCAACGAGCCCCCACGCCCACATGTATGCACGGCACAGTGGGCTGAGCTAAAGTTGAGTTGAGCTGAAGCTACCCAGAGGATGAACCCTTGGACATGGACAATTTTCTCTGCCAGATTTATTTGTATGCTCTTACTAGAATAACATCAGAAACGGTTTAATAATAAAAATAATTAAGAATGTGCATATGTATGTAAAGTAAATTCGATTGCTTAGAACGATAAAAGCTGACAGATTAGTAAAGAAAGAGAAGCAATGGTTTTTATACCAATGTGCATGGGCCAAGTAATTGCTATTAAGCGCCTCAAACTCCTCCGTCGTCAAGTAGATTGGCCACACATATTGGCCCTGTTCATTTGTTGTTGTTGTTATACTCTGTACATGAAATGTACAAGAGTATATTAGGTTTGCGGGAGCTGAAAAATGTAACAGGCAGAAGGAGGCGTGGCAGACCCCACAAAGTATATATATTCTTGATCAGCATGACGAGACGAGTCGATCTAGCCCTGTCTGTCTGTCTGTCCGTCTGTCCGTCTGTCCGTCCGTATGAACACCTGGATCTCAGAGACTATAAGAGATAGAGACACCAAATTTTGCACGAAGATGCGTTATGTGTGTATTCTATACGAGTTTGTTTTATTTTTTTGATTTTCCCCCCCACTTCCCCCCTATGGGGGTTTTCCCGATTTTCCATTCGTATAATCGCCTATATCTCGGAGACTATAAGACCTAGGAACACCAAATTTTAGTCCCAGATGCCTTATGTGAATACGCAGAAAATGTATATTTTGGAATTCCCCTCCCTCCCCCCTCTACCCCGCAAATCGTAACTCCCGTAATTCTTGGAATTTCGAACTAAAATTTTGGAAATACCCCCCAGTTGGTTATTATGTGTCCGTATGCCAAATTTCATTATGATAGACCGATTTAACAAGAAGTTATAGCCATAAATATATTTGCTGATGCAGCGCTGCTGCAGCGCTGCTCAAGCGCTGCCCGCGGCTGTTGTTGATGTTGCTGTTTGGTTGACTGCGAAAATGCTTACACAGACACGAATAGATGCGCATAGGCATACATACACTCACACAGACGCAATTGCTATGTAAATGTTCAATTATACACCCTTTACGTGAGTTCGAATACCGAGAGAGGTAAAATCGATCAAATTTTTTTTGTTTATTTTCTTAATTTTTTTTAATTTCTATATTTATTCTAAACATATGTACAGAGTATTTCAAAGTCGGGACACCCGACTTTAGCTTTTTTTACTTGTTTTTGTTGATATTATTGTCGCCCAGCTACAATCGAATAGAGTGCAAAGCTCAGTTTCAGTTTCGGCAGCGCCGTCCGGCACGGCCTAGAGGAGGCAGCGCCGATGACGATGGCGCTGACGCTGACGCTAGCTTTGATGTGCGATGTGCTTTGACTGCAAAAAGTGCCGTTTTAGGTTTCTTTTTTGTTGCTCGGCTGTCATTGCTAGTTGTTGCTATTGTAACTGTTGGCTATTGCATTATTTATGTTGTTTCTTAGTACATACATACGTCTCACACACAAATGATAAACAAAACGCAGACCCTCACGCACACAAGCACCCACAAGCTGATTTGCGGAGAGGGTGAAGAGAGTTCCCATTGGTGACAATCGCATTCGCGCGCCTACTGCCACAACACTCTCCGTATCGGTCTCATTGTCAGTCTCAGAGTCGGTGTCTGAGCCACAAATGCGGCCGCATTCTCAGTCAAACAACAAACGCAACTGAAGTAACAAGTTTGCGACCATCCACGGCTCGAAAAAATAAATAATAATAATAAAACAAAAATCCCTTCAATTTTCAGACGGCCGTTAATTAAATAAAAGTGAAATTCCGTTATCAACTTGAGTTGAATTTTATCGGTGCAGGAAAAGTGCCAAGAATCGGCTTTACTATACAAGTAATAGTATAAGTGCGGAAAAGTGAGTGTGCATGTGCGCGAGTTATGAAATATCTTGAGCTCTCATCCTTTGCCCGCCTGTGTTTGTGTCCAGTTTCCAGTGCCGCCCTATGTTTCGCCTTCCCACACAGGATCAGTGTGTAGTCTGGCTGCACCGCATCCTTTTGCTGATCTTCACCGTTTGGCATCACTGCAGCATGTCTATGAGTCGCAGTCGCAGCGAGGCGCTCAAGTGGATTAGAAAGCGTTTCTCACGCTCGCGGCGTCAGCCCCCAGGGGTGAGTGTAATTGTAAGCTCAGTGCAAAGTGTCCTGCACTTTGCATGCGCAAATTATTGAACGGTCTAAACTGGGTCATGCCAGCCCTTTGATTCACTAGCAGACATACCCGCATCCATCTACATACACTTGCCCGCATAACTCTGCGTACACACAAAAAAATACACAAATTTTAGCTTTAACTGTGAATATCTTTTAACATATGCAACTTATTGATCTAAATGTTTTTGATTTGCTTAGACTCGACATTTTTCTTAATAACTACATTTTTTTAAATATTAATATAACAATGAATATATTTTATTTCTATTTTTTAACAAAACCTTATTGAAAAATGGACCCGCAAAAGTCTGCGTACAAAATGTTTTTCAAACATATTATGTCGCTAAATTCCTTATTAATAGCTTGTTGGGTATTCTTTTCTTTGAAGGACCTCTGCCAGACGTCGAGGCATCGATTCCACCAGCTTTTTTGTGTCCGCCGGTGTTATTTTTTCCCATTCCTGCAAAATTACCTCCTTGAGCATACTTTTGGAGGTAATGTTGTGCTGCCGGATTCTGCGCTCGAGCAAGTCCCACAAATGCTCAATAGGATTGAGGTCTGGAGATTGGGGAGGTGTTTGCAAACGTTTTTTTACGTTATACAGCAACCACAGCCTTACGCTGTGAGCTGTATGTTTGGGATCATTATCTTGTTGGAAATAAAAATCATTTTCCAACCCCAACTTCTGGGCACTTGGGAGCAAATTGTCCTTCAAAACTTGGATATAGCCTTTTTGGTCCATTATCGACTCTATGAACTCCAGCTTCCCAACGCCATTAGCTGCCATGGACCCCCAAACCATTATTCCTCCTCCGCCGTGTTTGACAGTTGGCACTAAATTTTCTTTATTTAAGGCTGTACCAGATTTTCTCCACACCAATTTCTTGCCTTTTATGCCAAAAATGCAGAACTTGCTCTCATCCGAGAAAATGACCTTGTCCCAAAATTCAGCAGGCTTCGACACGTGCTCATTTGCGAAGTCCATGCGCTTTTTCTTATTCACCTCTGAAATGTGAGGCTTCCTACGGGCAACTCGGCTGTGATATCCAGCTTTTTTAATAACTCTTCGCACGGTGTCTTCAGATATGGTTTTGGAGAACCTTTCTTCCACCTCAAGACGCACCTGCTGAGCAGTCATCCTTGGGTTTAAGCGAACTAAAGCAACGATACGCTTTCCCTCTCGCTTTGTTAATAGAGACGGACGCCCAGATCGTGGCTTTGGTAACACCGAACCCGAGTAAACATAATTATTGAACACCCTCTGACATGATGAGTGAGTTCTGCCCACCAGCTGCCCAATTTCTCTATAAGATTTGCCCTGGACACGCAAATTAATTATTAATTTTCGAAGGTCAGTGTCGATCTCTTTTCCTGATGGCGCCATGGTTGTGATTGATCAAACACAACTTCAATGCATAGCAAAAGTCTTTTGCAAACTTCAAACAAAAGAAAAAGTGCAACTAAGATAACTGTAATTGCATATTCTCTTATTCTACACAGTTTAGTCTGCTTGTACGCAGACTTTTGCGGGTCCATTTTTCAATAAGGTTTTGTTAAAAAATAGAAATAAAATATATTCATTGTTATATTAATATTTAAAAAAATGTAGTTATTAAGAAAAATGTCGAGTCTAAGCAAATCAAAAACATTTAGATCAATAAGTTGCATATGTTAAAAGATATTCACAGTTAAAGCTAAAATTTGTGTATTTTTTTGTGTGTACGCAGAGTTATGCGGGCAAGTGTATGTACACGTGTAAATAGGCGAGGGTGGTTTGAAAGATATGTCTGGAAAATAATTTTCGGTTAGTCACTCGTTAATCGGGGTTTCTCAAGTTTTATGACGCTCTTAGCTTATTTCATACATATATACACTTACATTTGTATATACTTGTATATCGTGTATCTTCCGGGATGCAGGTTATTTGAAAAGTAGAATAGCTAGGCTAATGCACAGCTCTAAGCTATAAGGGGAAAGTCAGGCTCCTAAAAAAGCACATGTATGATATACCAAATGAAAAACGAAAAGTTTTGATAGAAAGGCTAATATGAAGAGAAGCTAGGTGTGTAGAGTAGCTATAAATAATAGAATTTAAAATGTGAAAGAATGTATATGAGTATTGTACACTCAAAATAAAGAAAACAATAACATTTAGCTATTACCATTAGTTTGAACGTACAAGTATTGCGTTCAGTGAAATATATATGAATTATAAAATAAATATTTTCAAGCTAGCCTTAGTGTTTGATATAGAAACAAGGGAGAATTCTACAGTTGAGAAAGCCTGTACCCAAGGAAACTTCCCGCGCTAGTCGAAGTCGTACTGTCCATGGACTAGGAGAGTCTACTCGGCAGGTTTGGTCAATGTGCGTTCAGCCGTTTCTGAAATCCAGACGCAAGGACAGGCGGCGGCCATGTCCAAATCGATTTCTTTCGTCATGCTGATTCAAAATATGAATACTTTATGGGGTTGGGGATTTACCCTTCGGGTTAGTGTTATAATGAAAAGGTTTATTTTTATATTCATTATCATTATATTAATACTTAGAAAGAGATACATGAATAAAAAATGAATAAATAAATATCAGAGGGGTATATAGTAGTAGAGGTACTCACAGAATTTATTTGCTCGAACACGGTTTGAAGAAGCTATGTATTTAAATGGTTCGAAATACCCGTCGCACATTTTGTAATTATTTAACGTTTCTTATGAATTAGATAATTCTTTGGGGGATAGTACCTTTGTACCTGTAATTTGTAGATACATAGATACCCGCATTTGTGGACGTTTCCCCACTTCACACATTTAATTTGTGCCATATTTTCTTGGTATCTCCAATTCTGCACTGGCATTCAATTAGAGGTCATCGTTTCTCATTCCTCTCGCCTGTGAAATTCAATTAAAACGAATTTGGCGCAATTTTCAGTCTAATTTTATATTTCCTGTGAATCGAGTGCGATTCGCACACAAAAGGGTTAAAACTCTTGCACTGGCGTGACTAAGTTCAATTTCTCCCGGGCCAGACGTCAAAAGTTGCTTAAAGCGTGTAACTTAAGCCCCATCCTCTCCACCCCCCCTACCCCTGCACGAACGGAATCACCCGCTTTGCGGCGTTGCTAACCATGACGTGGTCGCCAACTGTCTGCCGCTTTGTTCCGTTTCCGTTTTGCTAAATATCCAGAAAGGTGTGCCGGGGTCTGGGTGTGTTGTTGTTGTTGTTGGTGGTGTTGTTTGTGTTGCTATTGCTATTGTTGCTTTACTGTTGCTATCCTTAGGGCGTGTTGCGCTTGTCGTATTCAAGGCTCACTCCCCGAATGGTGCGCCACTTTGAGCGATTGTGGCTGTCAGGTTTTGGAACAACAGTTTTCGGGCCTGTCTTATCAATTTAAACAAATGCCAAAATGTGAAACTAATGCCACGAAACAGCACGTTGTTAAAATCAAATTTATGCCATTTTATGAAAGTTGTTTTGTTTTGTTTTTTTCGTTTGGCAATTTTTGTTACTGTTTGCCATTTCCAAATTGTTGATTGGGCGTGTGCGGCTGTATCTGTTGTGCACTATAGATATATACATATGTCAGCCACGTACATACATTGTACGTCCGTAGAATACCAAAAAAGTTAGCTATAGTGTGAGGCAATTGGCGATAGTTCCGTTTTCTATAACTTGCAGGCGCGTGCAACTTTTGCTCCAAATACTGAAATACAGAGGAATGTGAGGGCCCTGCTCACTAAATGCCAAATACTTCAATTTAGGAACTTTCTGCTTTGTGTCCATCACTCGTCTACACTGTACATAGGCGCCTCGTCCGCACCCTGGACTTCCCTGTGCACCATATACCTATGAACGTTTGTTTATCCAGCTGATGTTTACTTCACACCACTCAAACTTTCAACGACTCTGGCAACTGAAGAAACCGTAAACACAAATCGCATGTTTCGATCAAAATCGCATAAAATACTCTAGAAAATGGCACAAAAGCCTGTCAGTTGAGGGCGCTCGTAAACAAAAAACATGTCAAAGGCATAAACTAAGTAAGGCGACAAAAGCGTTGCAAGCAAGCTACGATGTCTATGTACATACATACATACATATGTATGTACATACTCGTACATATCTCGAAAACTTGCCAAGTTCAAGGCAGTAACAGCTCATGGATATCTCTATTATGTTGTTGCTGCTGTTGTTATTTTCACGGCGCATAATTATGGCGAACAATGTCTATGGCAAAAGGTCTGGGCGCTGGCACATCAGCAAACAATGCCAAACACGGCAGATGTGGGTGTGTTGTGTTTATTGTTGTTGCCGCATACATATACTTGTACATATGTACATGCATATAGTATATACATACATAAATACATAGTATATTTAGCATTAGTTAGTCGGTGGCGCATTCAATCAAGCGCACAACTCAGGCCTTTAAGCATGCGTCAGTCAGCCAGTCAGCCAGGCAGCCATTCAGGCGTTGCCCATTTTTTATAACCAAGTATCTACAAGTATGTATGGATTCATCCGCTCAGTCATTCAGACAAAACAACGTTCGTTTCGTCGGTTCGCACGCATAGAAAATCATTCAAGCCTGCAATGGCCTATGTTTTAAGACAGTAGAGTCCCCTTAATGGTAATAGAAAGTAAAATTTCATACTTTCAATAGGCAAATAAATATTTCCATCACTTGGGTTAAAAGAGAATACTGTGTACCCATTGCTATGTAACATATACAAGTAGTTTATACACAGTTCAAAACCATCAATTCAATTCATACATATGTAAATCGTTTGATCGTAATAAACGTGCTAGAAAACAGCCAGAACTTCAGGCGCTTCAAGAGGATCAAACCGCTCGCCCTCCTCTTCCGTAGTCTTCAAATAGCTTATAAGTAATTTCAATTTAAAACCCATACCGCATTATAGAAGGATATTCTTTCTATCAAGGTTTTCTTCTAAAATATAT